GCACGAAGTCGCAGAGCACGTATGCTTTTGAGAAGTCGTGTGAACCACATGACCCAAAAAGGATTTCTTATTTTTAAACTGGGTCATGACTCCAATAACTTTCATATTCCCAGCTGACAAGAACACAGATCTCACAGATAGCAGAGACACCGCAGCCTGAGAGCTTTCAGAGGCCACCACGCGGCCATCTCCAGTGACAGGAGCACTCTTTGCACGTTACTCATGTTTAAGCAATGCAGGAGCACTGTCTCTTCATCTCAGCAGGTAGAAGGTGCTACTCTAATGAACACTTAGAATTTCCTTTTCCAAAGCTTCGATTAACCCAGCTACTGGGTTCTTGTTAAACCGAGTTTTACCACGCAAGGAACACAGTTAGGTGACTATTTTTAAATAAGTACTTAGATAACAGTACTACTTCTAAAGAGAGACTTCAACATCTCCTTTAACTTGCTTCAGACTGAAAATGTGCTAACAGGGCACAAGATTGCATTTACTTTAAACAAGCTACCTTACAAAGGCAATGACTGCTTGGTTTTCCCCAGGTTCCTAAGAACTCACAGCATTTACCTAATTTACAACAGATTTCACCCTTGCAGAGCATGTTGTGTTTCAAAGAACAACAACAAAAAAAAATGCCCAAAAACCCCATCAAAACACATTGCAGATTTATAGGCAGCCAAGGCCCAACTGATTCACTTTTGTCACTAAAAAGAGGCCACTTCTTGGGTGACGGGTGGCAACAGCCTACAGCAACCAAGAACAGCGAGCCTGCTTGTTTATGGCAGTGGAGGGAATTCAAAGCCTGGATTTCAGAGCAGAAAAATCACCACTGAACAATGCTTTCCCTGGAGAGACGTCCTCACAACTTGAGAATGCTGTGCAGTCAACCAAAAATGTGCTGAATCCTGCAGTGTACTAGAAGTATGCTTAGTCTGTATTACAAGGGTTTGATGGCACAGCTATACCCGAGTAGCACTCACTGGCAAAGAAGAGTTTTAGATAAGTTTTAGTCACAGAAATGAAAACAAATTATACCAGAAAAATACGGGGACAAGACTGAGCTTCTGCAAACCATGCAAAGTTTATCCAGGTGAGCCGGTGAGGAGTCACTGTACAGTTGATGGAGCATCTGTGAAACTTTAGGGTCATCTTTGTGCGTTCTGCCTAACAAAACTATCAGAGTCACAGCTCAATTTGGAGCGCAGGCTGAGAAGGGTCAGGGGTATCTGAGCCCACCTCTGAGAGTCATGGGCACAGAAGGAAGTGCCAACCTTGGGTATTAGGTTTGTGCTGACCATTTGCATGTTTGTACATTTTCAGGCCTACACATAGCCTGGGATCAGTGTCATTCTAATAATAAGCTTCTGTGTGGCATACAACAGCTCCAGATTCATCTTCCCTAACTGAAATGCCAGAGCTTAGTCCAATATGCACTTATGAAGGTCATCACAGGCAAAAAGATGTGGGGAAGCAGAAACGTATTACCCATGCTTCCCTTAGACCCAGGCTCATCCATGCTGGTATTTCCCCACTGAAGATTAAAAAAAAATAAAAAGAAAAGTGTTCTTGCACTTAAATAAGTCTGCAAGGTAGAAGTGCAGTACTTGAATATCACTTAGATGCTAGATTTAACAAAGAATATGATACTGTGGAAGGAAAGCCAAGAATAAGAAACAGTCGTAAGGATATAAAGATCAGTTTTTGCTCAGAAACTGATATAGCATAAGAGTGAGTCAAGAAAGCATTTGATATAGAACATTCCTTTGAACAACTCTCTCCTTCACTAATCCCTTTCAACAGATGCACAACAAAAGCCATATTTCCATGCCAAAACATGCATACAGTACCTCTTAATTCTCTAACATGCCAATCAGGAGCAAAGTGAAAAAAGGAAGACAAAGGAATAAAATTAGGATAAGCACAACAAAGAGGACTCACATATTCAGTAAGACTCAACTCATATTAATTAACCTTATTTTTTTAAGAAAAACTATTCAAGTATATTTAGCAAATATAGCATCTTTGTAAAAAAAACAACCAACAAACCCAACATGATAATTTTAATAGCAGAGGGAGAAGAAGCCATGGTTACAGAGCAAATCTGACATCATAAATCATCACCAAAACACAGAGGAAGAATTGTTCACTGACAGTCAGCTCCTACTCCCACAGATGCCAGTGACAGAAGCTGCCGACGTCAGAAGTGTAGGATTCAGATATATAAAATGAGAAAGGATGAAACAAAATTATTACAACTGAGATTAAAAATAACACCTTAGCCTTCCTCCCATAGCGGAATACATCTTCTAGTCTGTGCAAACAATTCAAGCTTTGTCTAGATGAGGAGATGGATGGAGCTAAGTCTTTCAACTGCCTAGCGTGTCAGGCAAAGATCTCAACCGGATGTTCTGGTCTTAAGCTTGTACTTCATCCCAGAATCAGAGAAGACAGCTTCAGTTTTTGAAGCTCCTGAGACTGCCTTACAGCTCCCCAGTTCCCCATCACCAACAGGTCCAACTGGAAAAGTCGTCTTTGGCAATATGCTCCCTCCACCTGTCAGATCAGTGGGATGAGAGCGAGGGAACAGGATCTGATACTGACCTCTGCAATGTGCTGGGTTCCTCTTCATATACACGTCAGCAGTGTTTGTAGATTCAAAACAAAGCCAGCATTTCCCTACGTGCACTGCAGAGCGCTCACACCAGGCCCAGGGGTAGCTGAGGGCTTTGGTACACTCTTCTTATCAGCTAGAAAGGTGTATCGGAAGACGATGTCTGACAAAAATGGTGATCAGAAGTATTTGCTTCCCTGTTTTCTACAGAACACTGAAATGCCTTGAAGCTCTGTTTTCCTCTTCTTTGTTCTCCCCCTTTCTAGGTCCCATTGCATGACACCTTTCCTGATGCTGTCCTCTCTTCCGACCACCACCCTGCAAACTGAACAGGTCATCAGAGAGCACAGAGCTGGCCTGATCTCTGCGAGGTTAGGCCATACCCTGCTGCTAACTGTGAGAAACAAACTTCTTGGATGACCTTACATGGGTTCCAGCAAGCTCTTAGTATAAGCTTAGGTATGACTTTCAACAGGTCTCTTTTCTGGACAAACCTCTGTGACATATGCCACTTCCAGTACCAAAAATTACGGGCTTTCACACCTAGGCAGCTACTTCCTCTCAAACACCTTTGCCTTATCTCATGCCTTCCAAATAAATCACTGACCAGGGGGTGTCTCTAAGCCTGGAAAATCACTATTTAGTTGTTGCAGTGAATCTACGAGGAAAAAACCCTCTCTGTTGCTGAGCTTCTTTCCCCTTCCGAAGTGGTTTTAGCATATCCATTTCCTCTATATTGGGAATAAATCCAGTTCCCTTCTTATTCTAGAAATGCCAGTCAGAAGTTTTAAGCTTCCCCTTGGTGAAAGAGTGCAGCCTAGTGGCAGGAAAATGAAAGCTGGGCCTGTTCCACATCTCTGCTTGCCTGTCAAGACAAAGCTGGACACAGAACTTAACGTCACAGTTACAACTGAAATTCAGTTACAACTGAAGGTTACTTCTGAACTGGCTATGAAAACTGAATGTTCGAGTAACTGATGTATCAACAGAAAATATTAAAGGAGGAATAGCACAGTAAATGCCTTTTTTTCTTTATTCTTCA